TGGCAATTTCAAAATCAGTTTATATACAAAAATTTTTATTCTGAGATTAGCGAAATTTTAACAATTATTTTACAGACATAATAACATTGGTAAATATGATAAAAATATTGATAATAAATTAAAAGTGTACTTAAGAAATGAGATTAAAATAAAACATTTAAATTTTCTCCTGCCATATTTTAAAGTGATATTACTTTACATTTTGGCGATTTACAAATATTTTGATTGTGAAAAATAAACAAGATAATAAATGCTATAATGTTTCTAAAACACTTCTTAGAAAAAATAAAAATGCACTGTAATTATTTAAAAATAAATTAAAATTTTTTAAAATTTTTTTCATGTTAAATTTTTTTTTTCCATGTAATTATTTAAAAATATTGTTGCGAAATGTACAGACGCGGTAAGAGAGTTTCTCCGTAAAGCAGTTTTAGTGTTGCCATAAAATGGCAAAGGAAGGCAGGGTTGCCACATTTGGCAAGAAATCACCCATTTGGTGACAAAATTGGCGATATGCCATGGACGGATGGAGAACCTTCTGGAACGAATTCCTACCGGTTTACTCCAGAATGTTCTCGAACACGAGCCGAAAGCTATATAAATCCTGCTGGTATGCAGACAGGGAGAGTGTGTGCCTCATCTAGCTAGCTGATAGTCAATCATTGAGTGAGTGTCTCGAAGTCTAGCGCCGAGTTGGTCGTCAAGTGCATCGGAGAGTCTCTTAGTGTATCGCGGTTAGTGCCTTGTCAAGAGAGCAGGGTTGGGATTCTGGTGCTTTGCAGTGAAGCTGTCTCCACTGTGATAGCCTGAAGGCTGTGTCACTGATTGTTCCAGCAAATGTATAGTAGATCTTCGATGACTGTAAAAGTGTTTTGGACCTGTTCTGATCAATATTGGTAAATAATAAAGTGTATTTCGATACTTCATCAAGTGTCGTCGTTATTCACTCCAAATCTACGAACCCCGTATGAACGTGAAGGAAGAAAATAATGTAACAATTGGTGCCAGAAAAAAAAAAAAAAAAAAAAACCGATGCCAGAAAAAAAAACACAACAATATTTAAATGTGTATATTATTTTCCTCTTAAAAACTCACTTAATCGTTCTCTTCTCAGAATTTTTTTCAAAAATCTTCTGACATTTTTCTCTTTCAGAGTTGGTAGGGATAATTTTGCTTTCGGATTTTGGACCTTGCACGTCGAAACGTCTAAAGGCAAGATTTATGGATTATTGTTTTGAAGACAAGATTTATAGACCTACAGTTTCCAGAAAATGTGATGAAATGAAAATGGTCTTTGTGCTATTAGCACGTAATGAATGTTAGGAAATTTTTGATGAACTATCTATCTTTTGGGGAATTTTTGGAAGAACCATGGAAATAAAATCATTTGAATTTTCTCCTTTCCCTCTCAAGTTTTTCTCTTAACATGTTTATTTTCCCTTTATTTTATTATCTTTCCACCAGACGCAAGTATCGAAGCAATCAGAGAAAGCAAAGGAATTGAAAACCAACAATTAAATGAAAGATTCTTCATATAAGTGCTTGCCTTAAATTTTCTTGCTTGGTGCTTCACTAAATTTTAAAAGCTCTGCCACATTGGCTAAAGTGACGCTCTTGACCTTATATCATATTTATTTTTAATATTCATATTGTTAAAAAAAATAAAATTAGCAGTTTTTTTTTCGTATTCTAAATGCAAGCAGTTTTTTAGAATAACACAAATTTTTAATTAAATCTGAAAATTCTAAAAAGAAGAGGAAATTAATTGAAAAAGAAATTTTCTCTCTCTTTATATATATATATATATATATAAACCTCTCGAGAAAATTATTCTTCAAAGGTAAATTGTTGAAACATAAAAAATCCGGAGATGAAGCAAAGACTAGTGGGAACCTTGATATGTTTATTGAAACAAATAAACAATAAAAAAGATGCTAAAGAGAAGGAAATCGATGTAAATTACCTAAAACATTAGGAAAATTTTCAAGTTAAAAAGATGCATAAACATTTTGCTGTTGCTACAAAACACAAATTTTTTGGTCATTTTTAATCTATAGTAATAATATTATTTTTGAATCATTATCATAAATTATGACTGTTGTAAAATGTTCTTAGTGCTTTTTCATGGATATTTTTAGAAATAAAAAAAAAAAAAAATTATTGTAACCATGGAAATCTACGAGGCGTATTCGGAAACTAAGTACCGCTTTGGAAAAAAAAAAAAAAAGTAGTAAAACAATTTTTTTTTAATCCAATTTTATTTTTACATGAAAATACATGTCTTAAAATATTTTTCAACATGGTTTCCGCCAATGATCAAACACTTGTCATAGCGGGTGACCAGTTTTTGTATACCATCGTCAAAGAAACTTCCCCCCAGTTTCAATAACCACTACTCCACAGCATTTTTCGTGTCATCGTCAGATCCAAAGCGCTTGCCACCAAGCTCGCGCTTCATGTGCAGTAACAAGTGATAGTCGGACGGCGCCAAGTCCGGGCTGTACGGCGGGTGATCGAACTGCTCCCAATGAAACTGTCGAATTAATGATTTAGTGACACCAGCAGTATGGGGCTGAGCACTGTCATGGAGCAACACAATTCCTTTACTGAGCATTCCTCTTCGTTTGTTTTGAATGGCATGCCTTAGTTTTGTTAAAGTCTCACAATATCGTACCGCATTAATGGTTTCACCTCTGGGAAGAAATTCAGTAAGCAAAATGCCTTTCCTATCCCAGAAGACAGTGCACATGATTTTTTGTGATGACATTGTCACTTTGAACTTTTGTTTTTTCGGAGAATGAGTGTGTCTCCACTCCATCGATTGTTGTTTCGATTCTGGTGTGAAATGACACACCCAAGTTTCATCACCTGTCACAATTTGGTTTAAAAAGTTTTCTCCCTCATCACTGTACCACGTGAGAAATGTCAGGGCACTACCAAGTCGCTTTGTTTTGTGAACATCAGTGAGCATTTTTGGAACCCATCGGGAACACAGTTTGCGATAATTCATGCGGTCAGACACAATTTCGAACAAAAGAGTACGTGAAATTGTGGAAATGCCTCTGAAAGAGTTGTCATTGTGAAACGTCTGTTCTCATGAATTGCTTCATCAACTTTCCTTACCAAATCATCGGTGACAACAGAAGGTCGACCACTCCGAGTCTGGGCGTGGACATTTGTTGGACCTGCATTAAACATTCTTACCCACTTTCTCACCATTCCATCACTTATCGCGTATTCACCGTAAACTTCTGTCTTCGGCCGGTTTAACATTCCTTACGTTCAAAAATTTAATTACGGCATGAATCTCGCAGTCAGCAGGAGAACTAATTGTCTTAAACATTTTGAATGTGCACAGCAAACTGAAAACACAACATAGAGCAACCAAACTGGTGACAATTGAAAGTCGGTGAACAAGAAAGACTAGTGCGCATGCGTGGGCCGCCTACCACAGCGCTGCGACGGCGCTAGAATGAAACAGTACTTAATTTCCGAATACGCTACATATTATGACTAATCCATATCTGAGAAATGAGATTCTGGTAGCACTGGTTTAAATGGGAGGATTCCTAGTAAAAAGAGCCCTGTTGGAAGCGAAGTCCCACCTAGCTACGGAACTAATGTTGCGGCTATGTGGGATTTTTTCAAACCTCGCCGAAAATTTTATAGTGTGTAGACTACTCCAGCTTTTTGTAAAAGACTGTTGATGAAATTGGAATTTCATTTTCTTTTAAAATTTTAGTGAGAATAATAAATTTTTTTGTTGCTGTTCTATTTCAGTGCAAACTTTTTTATTTCTGTTAATTTGATTAAAATCTGTATTTGCTATTACTTTCTTAAAGACGTTGGAGTACCAATTTATAAGTTTTATTGTAGAAAAGTAAAATTCTCTTTTATCAAATAGTCTTATTTCTTTAAGATTATGAATGTCAAGATCTAGATAATCTATAATTTATTTTTATTGGTTTTATTAAGTTTTAGACAGTTTAGGTAGATGTTGCTAATTTCAATAAGATAATTACTGTTGGAAGTGATATCACCAATACATCTGAAAGTGTGTTCAGAATTATTGAAATCATTATCAGAAAGGTTTTTAAGAAATTTAAATTCTTTGGAAAAAAAATATTCCTATCTTTAATAACAAATATCCTAGGTTGCATAAATGAGTTGAATAAGAACTCCGAATGGAATACCATTTGTTTGTAGGTAAAGAAATTTTTAATGTTTTGTCTAGTTATTGAAAATTGAGAAATAGAAATATTCTTTCCATTTTTGCAAATTCAGAATAGTAAGCATTTCAGGAAAAAAAAATGTCAGCTCAAGAAGACTTTCGTGGATTTCTTTAAGTGGATGAGACGTATAGACATTTTCAAAGTCACAGCAGACTTTTAGCATTGCAAACTTTTAGATTTTTAACTTTCTCAATTATTTGTGAATAATCCAGTATTAGTTTTTATCAGCATTAGCTTTATCAAAAACTAAATTATGAATTGATTTATGCAGATTTGTGAAAATATTAAAACTTTTAGTGTCTAATAAATTTATTTTCCTTGATTTTGACATTAGAATTTTTACTAGTAGAACTTTCACTGCATTGGGAAGGAATACAGAATTTTTGGGTGAATGTTATAATTAAATAATTTAGAATGGTCTATCAGCTAATTTTGGATAACAGAAATGTAGTGGTTTTCAGAGAGGAAGGGATTCAGTTGAATCTTATGTATGTCCTTTTGGTGATGTTATATCAGATTTGATTGCATTTATCTTCCTTTGCATATATTTGCATTTATTTTTTGTGGTTTTTGTATTTTTTAAACTTTTGGTGTTTCATATTTCTTCAGTTCTTCTGAATTTGGTTTATTTTGCATATTTTTAGGGAATTTTGAAATATATTGGTATTCAATTTCACGCCTTTTGGGTTTTTGTGGAATTGGTTCTAAATTTCTTACTTTTTGTCTCTATATTAATGTATATATATTTATACTGTTTTCTTCTGTTAGCTATGGCAATCAATGATGGATGTAAAAATGTGACAGATTATCAAGAGAGTAAATTTCTTTCAAAGTATGAAATTAAAGGAAAGTTTGGTCAGGCCACAGACACATTCATGGCAGATGGAAAAGTTAGGGAACGATCTACATTTGGTATGTTAAAAAAAATTTATGCAAGACTTTCATAGTTTTACAAGTTATTTGAACACGTTTGAAAATGACTATTTAATAATAAAATTTTTACTCACTAGATAAGTATTTATAGTCTTGTAATTATTTGTGGACAGCATGTGTGTATTATTTCTCCTTCCATTTTAAAACTGTAATTTACCTTGTTCAGTTTTATTTTGAAACTTGAACTGTACTGATATAGTTTGCATATAAATTTAATTTTAAAGAGTAAATAGCATTTTATAACTTTGTCTTTTTAAGCTCATATCCGACAAGCAGCTATTGATCGTTTGTTAGCATCAATACAAGCATCTCATCAAGCATTAGCATACCAGTAAGTATGCATTCTATTTAAAACTGAAAATATGTATTTTATGTCTTTTAATACAAATTTTCAACATAATATTCTAAGAAATATGTGCTACAGTACTTTATCTGTAAAATGGTACTGTTATAAAATTAAATAATGTATAATAAGGACGAATTTTTGACGTGTATGTCATTTTGCTGTTTTGGAGGTGTATGCATTAGTTTATTAGTATACGTATTTTGGAGCATGGTCTTGATTTGATAATGGCTCTTCCAGTCTTTGTGAAAGCATTTACTGCTGTGCATGTGGTTTATGTCATGTTTAACTGATAAAATATTGTTCTGCATTGAGTTGACATACTGCATTTTTCAGTTCTTGTGAGTAACTTGAGAAACTGCAGTTTTCAACAGAGCCATGCAGACAGATTTTAACACCCGAGGGAAATCTCAAAATTGCACCCTTTGATTGTATTTTATCTTTTTTGCATTAATATTTAATTTGTTATATCTTGTCTTACCTCATTTTTAACAGCTGCGAGTACCCCTTACTTCAACATCAATATGGGTTTGTTTTTCACTTTCTTTCTTTTTGGAAAATTCATAAAATAGTGATTTCCATACCTTTTTAGACTCACAGTTTTATAACTCTGCCTAAGCATCCTTGTTATATTTATTTCAACTCTTATCCCAAGAGTAAAGTTCAGAGAGTATTTTACTTTTTTGCATTTACAAAAGAAATTGTAGGACCAGGAAGTTGTTCTAGATAAATGAAAGTTGGGAGGCATGTTTACACATTTGAAAGATTGTATATTCAAATTTTACACTAGATGAATAATTGTGGACCTAGTAGTGCCACCACGAATATGGTTAATTATGTTTGCTTTAAATACATGGTTTAAATTTTGGTTGCTTTATTTATCTTCTGAATTGGGCACTTTGAGTGAAATTTGAATCAAGAATGCCTTTAAAGCGAGGAAGAAGGCAGCATTTGCAGCGTACTGAGTTTAGACTAGGCTGTGTAATAGGGCTATGAGAAGGTGGGTTTCTTTTTGTGATCTTGCAGAAAGACTTGGCAGGCATGTATCCACTGTGTATGCAGTGTTGGTAGCTGTGGTTACGGAAAGGTACTATCTCAAGAAGGCCGGCATCTGGCTGCACATGTGTGGCCACTCAGAGGCAAGATTTCTGTATTCGCCACATGTCTGTTGTACACTGCATGTGTGCAACAGACAATCATGCTTTTGTTGGCACCAAAGCGACACAGCAGATTCTAAGAAATCAGTTATTTGAGGGACAGCTTTGAGTCAGATGACCTGTAGCAGCTATACGACTAACTTCAAACCAGTGCCATGTGTTACTTCAGTGATGTTTAGCAGAAGTTCATTGGAGGGAAAAGTGTAGATCTGTATTTTTCACCCATATTTCTATCCTACTCCTTAAATTATGCCAAAGCACCAAGTTTTGTTAAAAATCGGTGAGTAGTTTTTAAAAAAATAAGTCTCAAAATTTTAGTTATATCTCCTTGCTGTTGTTTTTGGTTCACAAAACTGAAGTGTTCTGTCAAAGGAAAGTGTTTTTGCTGTCATGGAAGAGATAAAAGGAATGTGACATTCCACTAGCCATGCCAAAAACAGACCTGTGCAAGTCTTCTGTTTAATTACTTGTTCTATTTGTACAAACTATGATATACCTACATCGTAGTACTTTGTTTTAAAACTAAGTATTTAACAAGTTTAAGTGTTTTATGACTTTGATCATATCTCTTCTTTTAGTTAAAATATATGAAATATAAATTTTATATTAACCTTTTACAAAGAATGTTTTAAATAGCTAGTTTTTTCTTGTATGATTGCAGATAATTGAACAAAAATATGCTCTTTAATACGTCATTTACTGGTCTTCATTCAATGTTAATATCGCATCACTAAATGGGACAGGATAAATGTTGGATTCTGTTGACCAAAAAGTTTGGGAGATGCTTTATTCATTTATCATTTGATCACATTTTAACTGAACTATTGTTTTCCAGGTTTTACTTTAAACTTAATTTACTGTTAAAATGTCTAGAAAATGAATAACACTCTCCCTGATAGATACAACTAAGTGGCTAAATTAAAATTTTAAAAAGTTTGATTGGAATACAAAATTTATGGAAATATGACTGTAGGAAAAAACAACATTCTTGTGTGAGCTTTGAACGCAAATGTTTCTGAAAGAAGAAATTAGAAGAAAAAAAATCAGTTTGCAGAAAACCGCTTCAAAGAAATGTCGAGGTTCAGATCATATTTTGTTGAGGTTTTCGCTCAGTGCAGTGGATCAAATATTCCAGTGAATGGGTGTATACCAGTGAAAAAGACAGAAGAAATAAGTCTAGAGAGAGCTGTTTTTCCACTAAAGGGCTATATAAATTAAAATTATGCAATTGAACACTATATCCAGGGATCGTATAGTCCTTAGGTTTTTTGGAATCGATTTTTGGTCTTTTTAAAAGTCCTTAATTTCGGCCAAAATCAGCAGAAGGTTCTTAATTTTAATCATCTGAAATTTCTGTCTTGTTTTTATGACTGCTGTTTTGAGTGTGAATTATCATTATGGAGGAATATTTTTAACAGTTCACTAAAAAATATGATTATCTTTTGAATGGGTTATAATTTGTTCCTATTTCTAATGTAAAGGGTGTGGTACTGGAGTTTCTGAGCAAGGTGTCAAACATAAGCATTTCAAAATTATTTCATTTTTTCCTAATGAAGAGCATTTTAACAACTTTCTGCTTTTGGGGAGGTGAATTCTTTTATTAAACGGCTCTAAATTTGGCGACTTATACTCATTTTGGTGATTTTTAAGATTAATTTCTATAGAAAATTATTAATTCAGAGATTTGAGAATTTTTTGACGATTTTTTTGGAAACATTATAAACATTGATAAATTTAACTAAAATAATGGTAATATATTTAAATTACCTTTAAGGAATAACATTAACCCCTTAACTGCCGCGGGCGTATATATATGCCTTGCTCAGCCGATGCGTTAACTGCCCCAGGCGTATATATACGTCCTTCCAAACTGCTATCATTTGCTTTGCGCTGCTACACCTAAAATTATTCGCAAAGTTAACGCATCGGCTGCGCATCTGGGGCAGTTAACGCATCGGCTGAGCAAGGCGTATATATACGCCCGCGGCAGTTAAGGGGTTAAAATAAAAAGCAGCATTACTTTCCATTTTTGGCGACTTATTATATAGTATTTTAATCTGAAAAATAAACAAGGTAATAAATGCTATAAAGCACAGTTTACAAAACAATTTATAGCATAAAAATTTAAGCAAAATAGCTATATAATTAATTTAAAATTTCTTCCTTTTATTTTTTCATGGTAAGAATTTTTCCCATGTAATTGTCTTAGAATTTTCAGAATTGTCAGAATATGTATCAGGTTTCTCTATAAAATTAATATTATACTTTTTCCACTGATTTTTTTTTTTTCAAAATATTTCTAGCCCTTTTTCTCTTGCAGAATTGGTAGGGCTAATTTTTCTTTAGGATTTTACACATTGCAACTTGGAAAGTTGAGAAGGATTTGAAGGCAAGGTTTACAGACCCACACTTCTAGAAGGAACCAGAAAAAATTGACAAAATGAAAATGTCTTCATTGTATTAACACATAATAGATGTTTTTACAGAAAGTCTGTGATGAATTTCTTACATTTTGGGGAATTTTTGGAAGGACAATGAAAACACGATGTTTGTTGTGCTAGAAGTCTTTTTCTTAATGTCTTCCCTTTATTTTCTCAACTTTTTACTAGACACAAGTATAGAAAATATCTAAAATGTTTCATATCTTTTCGCATGGACAGGCATTTATAGAAAAGAATTTTTCTATTAATAAAGAAATTGAAAACTGACAATTTAGAAGATTCACCTCATATGTCTCAATGGATCATACACAGGGTTGGCGCAAGGCATTTTCCTACCTGATGCAATCTCCATGGATCCTAAATTCTGCTCCCACAGTCTCTCCGAAAAGTCTTGTCATTTCTAGATTTTCTTGCTCCGTGTGTCACTAAATTCTAAAAATTCTGCCCCATCAGCCCTGAAAACCAGCCCTTTTTATACATCATTTCATATTTATCAGCTTTTTCTTTACATTCTAAATGCATTTGGTTTTTCAGAATAACAGAAATCTTTAATTAATTAAAAAAATTGTAAATTGAAGAGGAAACGAGGAAAGAAACTAAAGAGGAAATGAAAGAAATTAAACTATACATAAAGAGGAAGAAAATTATTCTTTGATGATATGTACAGTTATGCAAATTAGCCAGTGTTTTATAATTTTAGACTTTACTATAAGTTCCCCTTTCCGTTTCCTCAGCATAATTCAAATCAGATAGATTTTAAACTGAGGTTTTGAGACTGAAAGATAGAGTGTTTCTGCCCTCCACTTGAGATGTTGCATTAGTTTCTGCCAGCTCTGATAATTTTTAATTATTCATCTTTGCATTATTGCCACTAACATTTGAATTTGTTACGACAGTAGAGTTACTGAACCAGCTTAGATTAAAATTAAATTGTGTAGTCTTTGACTATTAGTCCACATTTTTAGTTTGAATTTGACTGTTCCTGTTTAATTGCATCACCACTAGCTGTAGTTGATTTTATCAACATAGGAACGTGACTGTGTGTTCAAAAATTTTTTTAAATAAGAGGTTTATTTAAACCTTTATATGACTTTGTAGCTACTTTAAGACAGCGATAATTTGCTTGATGTCTGTAAGAGGTTTTGGACTATTTAACTTTTTACCAGATCAAGCGAAACATCGTTATGTACACTGTTAAGAGACTGGCAAATTAGAAGGTAAAGCACATAACTAGCGGGAACATTGCTTTGTGTATTCAAACAGAGTTTTAATTGTTAGGAAAGATGTTTAAAGGGAAGAAAATTGATATAAATTAAGCCAAAATGTCTGGGAAGGCTTCAAATTAAAAAGACTCCTAAATATTTTGTTATGTGTTGTTGCTACAAAATGT